GGCTGCATGTCCTCCAAGACTGACTTGTTGGTTCTTTTGGCGAGTTGGGAAATAGTCATTAATCTCTCCCAATACCACCATTCAAAGGCATTAATTCTTCATCCCCTCTTCTTATTCAATGTCCAGTTTTCAGATCATAGGAAGTAACTGAAAACATCATGGCTTGGGTTAGGCACCCTGTAGTCTTAAAACTAATATCATTGCCTTTTAGCATTGTGGAGGGATTCTTGGACAGCAGAGTTCCCTATCCAATCCATTTTTAAAATTTATTTCTTGAGTTTTCTTACTATGGGACTTAAATATGAATCCAAGTAAATGGAAAGAGTTGACGACTTTAGCCTTCTTTCCATCTATATTGCCTGTTGGCCCAACAGGGAGGAATTTTGTTTTCTTGATGTTGATATGTAATCATATCAAAGGCTGTAGCCTTTGTTTATCTGCAGCAAGTGCCTAAATTAATTATGTCAAGATTAATAAAATAATTGCCTCATGCTCGTTCATTTTCTTTCTTGGTGGAACTGAAATCCTTTCATCTTTGTTGACTTCTATTTCCTTTTCTCTCTTATGAAATAAAAGTGATGCAGGCCCCTGCACTCCCCTCAGCAAAACCCTCCTTACATAGGATCAGGGCTATAGCCTACGTGCTAAGTCTCATTAACCGTCAGAGAAATGCAAGTTAAATCTAAGATGTTGCATCTCATGCCAGTCCTGACTCATTAAAATGCAAACGTAACGTAATCTTCTTGAAAAACTTAATTATCCCACATTAATCATAGACAGAGAGTAGAATTTACACTGTGTTGAACAGTTATATCAGCACACAGTTATGTCAAAATCCGGAACAGCCATGTAATTAATACTGGGACTCAAGGCCTACCTAGGTTGACACCTATTTCAGGGGTTGGGGACACAATTCAGTCTGTGACAGGGATATACCTTTGGGAATTTCCAGCATTGTTATTGCTGTTAGATGGTGTTAAGTGGACTAGGACTCCTAGCATAGTTCATCATTATGAAGCAGTTAAATCTTGGGGCTCGTCAATGTTGGTGATTTGAATCCACCTAAGATTTCTGAGGGAAAACATCAGATAATCTGTTTTTGCAAAGATAGCTGGTAATATTGTTTGGTGCCATGAAGTAGAGACAACAGCTCATAGGAAGCCTTTGAGCCACAGATCTGAACCTTGCCTTATCCGGTGCCATCTTCATGACCTCTCTCCTCCTCAAGCCCATTGTGGTCGTCACAACCGAGTCTAACTCAATAGCACATAAAAAACAACAACTAGTAGTTCGACAGAGACCAATAACTCAACAATGAGGAAAGCCTCTTTGATGCTAAAGGTGAGCCCTTGAATCACACCCAATATTTCTATTGTTGTCAGTTTCTTTCGCGGACCCCTCTACCTTTCCAAGCATGATGTGTTTCTCCAAGGATTGACTCCTTCTGAGAATAGATTCCAAGTAAGTTAGACAAAGTTTCACCCTCCCTGTTGCTCAGGAGTGCTCTGGTTCCACTTCCTTCAGACAGATATGATTGTTCTTCTGGCAGTCCATGAGACAGTCAATACTCTTCGCCAACACAACAGTTCTTCCATCGTCTTTATTCATTGTGCAGCTTTCAGATGCATAGGAAGTAATTGAAAATACTCTGGCCTAGATGAGGCACAACATAATCTTTAAACTGATATCCTTGTTCTTTGGAACTTTGGAGAGATCCTTCACAGCTGATTTCTCCAATGCACCACAGCTTTTAAATTCTTGACTGCTGTTGCCTGGCGTGGATCCAAGTAAAATTAAATTGTTGACAACTTCAATCAAAGTCACAACCCAGAAAACACTATGGGACAATTCTTTTCTGCTACGGGGTGTCTCTATGAGCTGGGGATTGACGAGGCAGCATCTGACAACAGGGATACTTCAGAAGGACTAGGAAGAAAGGGCTGTGATCAAGTTCTTGAAATCAGCCAGTGAAAATTGTATTGATTATAGTGAACTGATCTACACCCAGCCACAGGGACAATGCAAGACAGGACAGCTCTTCTGTCCTGCAGGCTGTCGCCATGGTTCAGGGGACAATTGGACAGTAACTAACAACAGGGAAAGATATCCTTCAAAAGGGCTGGGTAAAAAGAGTGTTGGATATTTCTCTAATGTAGTGTGTGTCGTATGAAAGTGCAGTACTTCTCTCAGAACTGGAGACATCTGGGATAGGAAGAGTCATGTTGAAAGGAAGAAAGTAATATTTTTTGCAACACAAATTTGTAGACTTTTAGATGGACACTGCTTTCCTGTACACTATTGTTGTTAGGTGTTATCAAACCTAGTATGGCTCAGAGAGACAATTTGAACAACAGCTCTGAACCCTGACCTATCCTGTGCCATCCTCGTCATATCTGATACTCGAGCCAATTATTGTGGTGATTTGTCAATGCATCTCGTTGAGGGTCTTCTCTTTTGCTGACCCTTCACCTTTCCAAGGAATAACCTTTCCTAGAAACATGCCTAAAGAGTATGAGACAAGCTTTGTTATTTTTTCTTCCAAGAGGCATTCTGGCTGGACTTTCTTCTACTTGTATCTGTTCTTTTGACAGTCTGTTAGATTCTCAGTACTCCTCTCCAGCAAAATAACTCAAAGCCATCAATTCTTCTTCCATCAGCCTAAATCATTGTCCAGCTCTCAGATGCATAGCAAATGATTGAAATACCATGGCCTAATCAGGTTTATCTTAGTTTTCAAATTGATATCATTGTTCCTCAGTAATGTTTAGGGGTTTTTATTTATTATTATTATTATTATTATTATTATTATTATTTTAATGTGTACCATCCAATCGGATGTTCCTCAGTATTTGGAAAGGTCCCTGACTGTAGATACTCTCTGTGAAATACATCTCCTAATCTCCTGAGTACCGGTACAAAGGATGTTGATTATGGATCCAAGTAAGATTAAATAATTGACAATTTCAGTCTTTACTCCATCTACCATGATGTTGCCTATTGTTCTAGTGTTTGCTTAATGTTGAGATGTAATCCATATTTAAGCTGTAGCATTTGATCTTCTACAGCAAATGCTTCAAGTCTTCACTTTCAATAAGCAAGGGTGTGTTATCTGCATAATGCAGGTTGTTGATGATTCTTCCTCCACTTCTTATACCACATTCTTCTTTGTAGATACTAGCTTCTTGAATGATTTGCACAGCATACAATCTGAACAGGTACAGAGAAAGGATATAACCTTGACACACATTTTTCCTGATTTTAAATTATGCAGTGTTCCCATGCTCTGCCCATACAGTGTACCCACATAAATGACGTATACAAGCATAAGAGAATGGTAGGTCATAGGAAGCTAGCCAGCAAGGAGGTGGTGGAGTTTGTTATAAAATCATATAAAGTGTGTTATCTGAGCTAAAAAAACAGGAGTGTAGACAACAGTCCTTTTATCACAAATGAGCTTGTTCTGAAACAATTAACTTGCAAGCATTCCTAAATTAATGATGCAAATAATTTTGTTTTTATTTATTTATCTTGTGCGTGCAAACCTCTCTTTAGCTTTAAAAATTAATGGCCTTACACAATGTTTGTCCTTTTGTAACTGTTTTCTTTCATTCAACTTAATGTCCTCTAGATTCCCCTATGTTTTGCAGTGTTTCCAGAATTCTTTATTGTTTTTCAATCTTGTATTTGTCATTAAGGGAATGTGCCATGGGTTCTTTTCTTTCTTTCTTCTGTTTTTTTTTTTTGAAAAGTAAAAGAAAAATTATTTCATTGATATACAATCCATTGATATACAATCCAAGTCCACTCCACCATATACAGCCTTCGTCCTGGACTCCTGTCATGACGATTATATTTAATCATATATCCCTTTTAAACAGTTCTCTCCCTCATCTGTTTCAATGCATTACACATAATATCCCATCTTTCTCAGTCTCCCCCCAAACCTGATGTCAGTCCCCTTTCACAGCAGTGGCACTATACAATATTTGTCCTTTTGTGACGGAGATATTTCACTCAGCATAATGTCCTCCAGGGTCACCCATTTTGTATAAAATTTCATGTGTTCCTTGTTTTTCACATAGTTTCTTATTCACTTGACTTGTTTCTATCTCTATTATGCACTTATTGTAAAGAAGACTGCAGTAACATGGATTTGCATTTATCTGCTCATGTTAGAGCTCTTATTTTTCTGGGATGTATACCTAGTTATGGGATTGTTGGATCCCTTGATAATTCTGTTCTCAACTTTTTAAGCAAAAGCCCAGCACCATTTTACATTCTTCCCAGTAGTATATGAGTGTCAATCTGTCCCTCACCACCATTTGTGGCTTACTCTTAAATTTTGTTCTTGCTGGAGTGAGTGGCAACTCATGGCTGTTTTGCTTTGTATCTCTTCAGAGCTTTCATAGTTTGTAGAGATTTTTTATGTGAACCAAAAGGTTTAACCTCTCTGGTGTTTCAAATCCGTTGGCCTTCCCTGGGAGAAAAATCTATTGGCTCCTCTTATGCACTTTACAGCCTCCAAAAACCCACTGGAGGGTCAGTTATGAACTAGTTCCCATCTAACAGCAAACTTTTTATCTTCTAAATTGACTCTTTAATGAATTTAGAATACATTTTTACAGAATTATGACTTACTGTAACAAACTTACATAACAGATTAGCAGTCTACAGCAAACTTTTGAATGCTGATGATCTAATGCATTGACAGAATTTTTTTTAAATTTTATTAATTTTAATGAACGTTTACAGAGATTTGAGGTTTCCATTGTTGCGTTTTTCTCCCTGCCTACCTAACAGAAATATTTTTTAGTTCAGAAATGGTCTGTCATCTAGGCTAATATTTTCATCTTAATGCTGTTGAGGACATCCCTAGCTTTCAGTTAAATGACTTCCAGGTGAAATGTCTCCCACGAATCTCAATCAATTAGACTCAGCTAAGGGATGTACTAGCCAGGGGGGAGGGCTATCCATGAGTGAGATTCCAGTGTTTCCTGCAGGCCCTGATGGACGAGATCCTCATGCTCCAGGATGAAATCAACGAGCTCCAGTCGTCTCTGGCCGAGGAGCTGGTGTCTGAGTCTCCAGAGTCCGACCCCGCCGAGCAGCTGGCCCTGCAGTCCACGCTCACTGTCTTGGCCGAGCGCATGTCCACCATCAAGATGAAAGCGTCAGGGAAGCGGCAGGTGCTGGAGGTAACAGTAACTCAGAAGGTGCCCCTTGTTTCTGAATTAAGCACCCAAGTTGTGTTCGAAATAATGTGGGCTTCTTATGTGAACTATGATCTTATCGTGTCCCGCTTATGAAATGCTAATGCTGTGTTTCTGAAATGGTCTTGTGAATAGAGCATTGACTCTGTCTGTCTGTAGCCATGAATACGTCCTTTTACTTCTTTCTGACTCATTTAAAGCATGATGTATTGGAAAAAGTGAAAAGCAAATAGTTAATATGCAAGGGTGTTGTGAAATTATTACAGAAAGTTTGCTTAATGATTTTCTGCATTTAAATAAAGACTCTCTAGTGGTGCAGTGGTTAAATATGCTAATTGAAAGTTTGTCAGTTCATACCCACCAGCTTCCCTGCAGGAGAAATGAGTTTAAATAAGAGTATTCTAAGAATAATTCTTACTATTGCTAAAGCTATGAAACATAAACCCTTCTTGGGTTACATACACCTTAGTCTTTAGACTGACATCCTTACTTTTTTTTTTTAGTTCTTTAAAGTACTGGCAGCAGATGGACCTACCCAAAGCCATGTCTTTTTTAATTTCTTGACTACTGCTACCTTGGGTGTTGCTTATTGATCCGAGTAAAATTAAATCCTTGACAACCTCAGTCCTTTCTCCATTAATGATGTTGCTGCCAATTCAGACATATTGTTGTTGTTGTTATGTGCCATCGAGTCGCTTGCGACTCATAGAGACCCTATGTACAATAGCCCTAAACTACGCTCTGTCCTGTGCCAATCGCACTGTCTCTGACACTCCCATCCCAATTATCCTAGTCACTGAATCAATCCACCTCCTAGAGGGCCTTCCCCTCCTGCACCGTCCTTCCACCCTCCCAAGCATGATGTCCTTCTCCAAGAACCGGTCTCTCCTCACAACATGTCCAAAGTATGTTAGGCGGAGCCTCAGAATCCTTGCCTCCAAGGAGCCACCCGGTTTAGCCCTTTCCAGGACAAATCTGTTTGTTTTCCTAGCAGTCCATGGTATTCTCAATACTCTTCTCCAGCACCACAGCTCAAAGGCGTCAATTCTCCTTCTATCCTCCTTGGTCATTGTCCAACTCTCTGATGCATAACAAGTGATTGTGAAGACCATGGCCTGTATCATATTATCTCACACAAACACTATGATGAGTCTGGTTCTTATGCTGCCTAATTGAAATATTATTTCCCTCAGTGTAAATACAAGCTTTAGAAACAATCGTGTGTTTTCTTTCCTTGTGGTTCTCGTGTCACGGTTGGCCATAAGTGCATGCACAGGAATGCCGTGTGATAACTCCTACAGACGAGCAGCTGTATGATGTCCAGAGTAACAGGGTCACTGAATCTGTGGGTCCAAGCAGCTCATGTGTAACTGGTTCTCACAAAACCAATTAGCAACATATGACTTTATTCTGTGAACTGGATAATATTTTATTGAGGCTGTTCCATTATCCAGTATCCAGTTAACCCTGGCTCTGGTGTTGAGTGTGTACACTATTTCTAGTTTTGCTTATAAGTTTAGTAAAAGTATTTCATTCTTGTTTTGGTTGTATTTAAAATCTTGTGTCTGCTTTATTAATATTTGTAAGTCATCTGAGAAGATGAATTTAAATAATGAGAAGTATTATTATTGAAGTATCTTTAAACTATGTATTTAAAGTTGGTTAATTTAGATTTTGAATTTTTAGTTCATTGATACTGTCTTCACTCATTCTTTGGGCCACATAAGGACTTTCAGAATAGAGTTTTATTTGGATCTTTTTTTTCCAATATGAGGGTTTTTTTTACTATCATTGGGAAAAAAACAACTAGAGAGTATGTCTTTGATTTTGGCCTTCATCCAAATCCAGGAGCACTGTGTTACTCATTCCCAAAGGGAATCTTTTGCTATGACTGCTTGATGACCCTGTTAGATACCTCCATTCTCTTCAGTTTGCCTTCGTCTTTATCCTAGCCTTCCATTTTACAAAAATTAAGATCCAGCATCTGTTGCCTTTTACCAACTACCTTATGCCAGAGATTTGCTCCCCACCTTGGTGCTTGGCAACTTGTCATCTTATCTACATGGTCCTGAAAGCAAATTATTTGGGGAATCTTTGCTCAACTTTTGGTGCAAGTTAAGATCGTCAGAGCAGCTTTTAAAAAATACTAGTCTCAAACTCCCTTCTGCTACAGAAGTTCCAGTTTATTACCCTGGAATGTGAGCGGAGCATAGGTCTATAGTTTTCGTAGATGATTCTGATGCTTAGTGAGGATAGGAAACCTTGGCTTTATCATGGAGACAGTAGAGTTCTCATGATTTTACGTTGGGTTGATCAGATCATCTTACTTAATCTGTTAGGAAAAGTTGAACGATCAGCTGGAGGAACAGAGACAGGAGCAAGCCCTGCAGAGGTACCGCTGTGAAGCTGACGAGCTCAACCATTGGCTGCTGAGCACGAAGGCCACGCTGGACACAGCACTGGGCTCGCCCACAGAGCCCATGGACATGGAAGCTCAGCTGGTGGACTGCCAGGTACAAGCATGCTCTCATCAGGATATCTCGGCATCCCTAAGTGCACTTCCTGCTAACGAAAGTGTAGTCAGCAGTTTGATGAGGATATATGATTTTCTGTAACTTCTGTGCCTTTGCATTTAGCAAGTAGAAAAAAAAATGTTAGCTAAACTTAGGTATAAATTTACCTTTCTTGCAAAAAATTTACCAATTATCTATTCTTTAGAAAACTTTCTCCTGCCTAAAGAACACTTGTAAAGTCTGTACGTTCCAAACCCCCTAAGATATCTATATTAAATGGTTTAACAAAGAATTCAATCCAAATGAAAGGAGTTAGTATCTGTGGTTAATACAACAGGCATTTCTCATGAATTCTCTGTTGCAATTTTGGTTCAAATACTGATAAACTATCTGGAAAAACCATCAACTAGAGGCTAAATTTGGGGAAATTGTCCACTGGAATAGAGAATATGCTTAGGTTTCCAAGAATTACCATATTTTTACACAATTAGCTTGCATCATATACAGATTTGCAAATGATACAGTTCTTCTGTATATTACTTTCCTATGTGCCCTATGTATGTATTTACATGGGCTCTTGTGGGAAATATAGTAATGTATTTGTAGTCCTGGACATAATGCTTTCATGGGTCCCCAACCCCATAAAAATATTTAATAATTGAAAATATTGAATGTTACACCCGACTGCTGTGGTATAAAGACAAATGTAATACAAGACTGATTTATAGCCATATTT